CCCCCCCCCTCCGCACACTACTGGTCTGGGCTATAAATCATTGCTATATATTGGAAATATTTTCGAACTAGTTTCAATAATGAATGTACATTTAAATGATTCGATTTTAATTCTTTTCGATTGATCCTTGATCGCACTCAAATTAGATGAACATCTTACATTTACATTGATGCCATTTTTCAATAGTGTGAAACTAATTTCTTCTTATTTTAACTCATACTGAGGTCTTTTACACCGTTTTTCATGTGCTTCTTTTTCATTTTTTCTTATGAGTCTTCATATGCGAATTAAGATGTCTCCTGAAAATAAATCGCATCTTACACTGATCACATTGATAGGGGGTTTCTCCAGTGTGACTTCGGACATGCATATTGAGAGTACTCGTTTGGGTGAATCGCTTCTTGCAAAAACCACATTTATACGGTTTTTCTCCAGTATGTATTCTCATATGTTTTTCTATTGCATTCTTATCAACAGTAACAAACTTTTTCTTTTTTTTGTCACTGTTGCAAAGATAGCACTCATATCGACGTCGTTTACACTCCCTTTCGTGTGCCTCCTTTTCAATATTTCGTGTAAATCCCCGGTGACAGCCTGAACAGTGGAACAGATTATCCTTATGAGTCCGCATATGAATTTTGAGATGGTTACTTTGGTTAAATCGTTTCTTACACCGATCACATTGATATGGTTTTTCTCCCGTGTGATTTCGAACATGTGTATTGAGATGGGTCCTTTGGTTAAATCGTTTCTTACACTGATTACATTGATATGGCTTTTCTCCAGTATGTATTCGCATATGTACTTCTAGTGAAAGCTTTAGACTAAATCGTTTCTTACACTGATCACATTTATGTGGTTTTTCTCCAGTATGTATTCTCATATGTTCTTTTAGTGAATTCTTTGCAAGAGTAACAAATTTTCTCTTATTTTTCTCTCTGTTGCAAAGATAGCACTCATATCGACGTCGTTTACACTCCCTTTCGTGTGCCTCCTTTTCAATATTTCGTATAAATCCCCGGTGACAGCCTGAACAATGGAACAAACTATTCTTATGAGTCCTCATATGTATCTTGATATTTTGCAGATAGGAAAATCGCTTCTTACACTGATCACATTGATATGGTTTTTCTCCAGTGTGAATTCGAATATGCATAGTGAGAGAACTATTTTGACTAAATCGCTTCTTGCAATGACCACATTGATATGGTTTTTCTCCAGTGTGACTGCGAGTATGTATAATGAGATGATCATAGCGACTAAATTGCTTCGGACAATGATCACATTGATATGGTTTCTCTCCACTGTGAGTTTTTATATCACTGGATATTTTCGAAATGGTATCTACATTTTTTTGCGATCGCTGAATGTTTGTATTGTTTCCCCTCGTTTGACCACCGATTCTTTTATTCGATTGTTCTTTGTTTCCATTGCTTTTGTTCTTTTGAGAAATCCACTTATCAAGTGTCGACTGACCACTTCTCACATTTCTAGGTACATTCACTTCAACTTCGTTCGTTGTGTTTGCGTTACTTTTACCATTGATTTTGCGGCTTGTATCCTTCGATGCCACTCTTCGCTTCGATACACGTGTTTTCTTTTTATGTGGTTCGCATACATTGTTTTCCTTGTCATCAAACATTTTCGGTGAATTCGATCGTTCCCGTTTCACTCCATTTGCAATGTTTTCTTTGTTATGATCTTCGTGACTTTCAACTTTCACAACATTCATGTATGTACCCATAAGTTGATTGGCCGAAACACGAACTATGGGTATCCCATCATCTTCCATTTCTTCTTCTTTTGCTACGATATTTGGTACCTCCTCGCCCGAAGCTTGATCATCGCTTTCATCATCCTCGGTTTTAATCTCACGATCAACATTTCGTACAGCAGTCTCTCTGGATACTTGCGACCTGGTGTTGGACCTTTCGTCCGAATCCTCGTCATCACTGATTTCAACAATTGGATTTTGGTCGTTATTTTCGGTTGAAATTGATGCGATCGTCGAAGAATTTTCGGAAAGTTGGACACTTCTATTGCGACTTTTGTCGAACAACGATCCATTTTCAAACTTGGAATACATTTCATTTAATCTAAAGAACACGAAAGAGATTATTCATTAACAAATGAAATAAAATAGAAAATTAATTTGTTATACGAAGAAAATTTAAGAGTAAATTACCTGTCGATTGAACGTTTAAGACAATATTTTTGATCTTCTTGATGGAACGATTGACCTGATCGTTCGAAACAGTTACTAATATTTCGTAGCGACGACGTCGCCTGCCGATCAATGTTCGTTAACATTTTCTCTAATTCTTGGTTCCAACCTTCGGACGACATTTTCAAACGATTTTTTTTTTACTTTTACACAGCGACAATTTAACGAGAAGATTTCTGATTTCTTTTTGAGAGACTCTTTTCTCTTCTTTTTTTCGTTTTTGAAAGAAGAAACTTGCCAAAACTAAAAAATACACAACTGTTGAATATTGTGGTAATCAAAATACAAAATTGAATTCACTTAACTGTCACGAGTTGTTTTCTAAACGACGACTTTTTCAAGACTGAAATACGTTGAAAAATTTCAATGGTTCGAAGTTTTTTTATTCCAGCGAATGAAGTATAAAAACGGCAACCAAAAGACATTTAGCAAGTTCGAAAACATAACAATGTTCAACTAATTTTTATGATGCCTTTGTTAAATTTTGCACTTACATCAAGCAATTAGGCAAAAAAAATTACAGTTATGTGTGAAACGAAATTTTTAAGGCAAGAGAATATTTTATGAAACACAATAAAATCATAAAAAGAGAGAATGTTGTGTTTGTTCTAACTATATTCATCTCTAATCCTATTTTATGGACAATTCTTAGTTGTAGCATCGTATTCAATCAACATGTGTTCTTATCATGTTTTGAAAAAGATCATATGTCAAATAAAACATCATTTTTGAGGTGCATTTTTTGATATTGCAATTACCTCTATGAGGCTGACTGCAGTAATGGCTTTTTTTTCAAATTACTTTTTTATGATCTTACCATAAAGTTATTTTATAACCTTGAAGATGAACCATGGAGCGGAAACGAGTGAGACTCAAACATGTGCTTCTTCTTCAAAAACAATACATACACAAGCATCACATGAACGCAAAAGTCAATAAGTATTCATCACAGATACTAAGCTGAGTAGCGCGCGCATGTATTTGTGTACTGTTATGGCGTATACTTGTGATGTTTGTGAGTTAGTGTTAATCCAACCCCTCGGACCCCTGCTCAGAAGCTATGATGCTGTTTAGTGAAATATTCATTTTTTTTGTTCTTATGGGATTAATCAGAAACCATGGATGAAAAGTATTTTTAAGGTGATTTTATATTTTGGGTCTAATAGACATAATACAATATTTTCCCCACACAAGGTGTGCGGTAAAGTAAAAAAAAAATATGACTGAAAACAAATAAAGAAGTTAGATATTTTGTTATCTTTTACATGGATTGATTTTATTGTATTTTTTACATATTTTTTTATTGTATTTTTTTATATCAATAATTAGTTTCAACATCAATATTCATTTTTCAATAATGAATGTACATTTAGGTTTATTTCTACGCTATTCTAAATAATTTAAAATTTAATAATTTTCTAATGGGTGAATTAAGATGTTTCCCGTGAAAAAACATACCAATGTGATCAGTGTAAGGTGTGATTTATATCTTACATTGATCACATTGGTATGGTTTTATTCCGGTGTGTCTTCGAATATGCGTATTGAGAGCACTCGTTTGGTTAAATCGCTTTAATTCTCAGCGACAATTTAACGAGAAGATTTCTGATTTCATTTTGAGAGACATACTTTTCTCTTTTTTTTTCCTTTATGAGATAAGAAACTTGCCAAAACTTAAAAAAATACACAAAACTGTTGAATATTGTGATAATCAAAATAAAAAATTGAATTCACTTAACTGTCACGAGTTGTTTTCTTAACGACGACTTTTTCAAGACTGAAATACTTTGAAGAATTTCAATGTTTCGAATTTGAAGAAGTAAAGTATGAAAACGGCAACCAAAAGACATTTTGCAAGTTCGAAAACAATGTTCAACTAATTTTTATGATGCCTTTGTTAAACTTTGCACTTACACCAAGAAATTAGGTGAACATTTTTTGCAGTAATGTGAGAAATGCAATTTTTAAGGCCAGAGAACATTTTTTGAGACACAATAAAATCATAAAAATAAAGAATAATGTATTTGTTCCCTTTGATCCTTTAGTTTTACCGTTAATCATCTCTCGTCATAAAGAAGAACAACCTTTAGTTGTCAACCCAAATTTTTTTTTACATTTTTCTTTTAAAGAGCCTATAAAATGAAAATATCACTTTTGAGATTAATCATTTTCTACAGATGCCAGTTTTATGATCTCACCGCAAAATTTTACTACGTCACTAGTGACTCACTACCATACCAACGTCACCATTTCACACTTGGCAAAAAAATTTCAACCGAAGAAATGTTCGCATTTCTTCGAATTTCGAACTTTGATAGTGTAATTTGACTTGTTGAATTGCATCATTGTTCTCAAATCCTTTCCTTTTAATATCTCTGCATGATGGAAAATGTTTCAGTGTATTCCTTTTGAAATTCATCATTTCATTCAGAGCGAAAAAAAGAGTGAAAAGACTTTGGTAATGCATAGCAATGAATGAAATGAAAAGCACTTTATGATAATCATGATAATTCTGAGGTGATAATGGGTTTAATAGTTCGTTTGAATGGTGCATCCGGTTTCAAGTGTTCAATTATTCAGAGCATCCGGCCGTTTCCATTGAATAAGTGTGCGTGTGTTTGTGTGTATGTGCGCATAAATCCAAGAGTGTGTCAAGTGGGTATCCGTTAAATACATCTACAATTATACGCTTAACGGATATCACACCACTGTTGTCTATTAATCGTTGAAGCTTGAGAATTACATATGCGAATCAGCATTCAAATCAAACACAAATTCCTCTGTTTTTAAATCATGCGCTACAGAGCTCGGCTCAAACTGAATTCCGCCGCAAATACAGAAAAAATGCGATATTCTTTGATTGAAATGCGGTTTGAACATTGAAATCGAAAAGCTGCAGCTGAATCATTCATACTTAATTTATCTAATAATGTACTTTATCTATTTCTGGATAAAACAGTTTTGATCCAGAGAATTCAAAACGCCATGAAAACTTTTCAACTATTTGTAGACTTTGGTTGTGATTTTCTGTACAATTTTCCGACATAAAAAAAATCAAATTTTTCACCTTTTCTTAAAAAGGCCATTCACTTTTGGATTGCAATCAAATTATAATTTGTAACGATATAACGCAATGTCTGCTGAGAAGGTTCTTTTTGATTTGAAATTTAAATTTTTCCCGGGGAAATCTCTGCACTCGCGATACAGTCTTTTTATCTTTTGGAGAATTGTAAAGAATTCAAAAAAAAAACAAATTCTGAAAATATGCCTTGACATACTCGAACTTGATATTAAAGTACGTCACTCGGTTCAAACGGCATCTATTGTGATCAAAAGCACTAAAAGATTGCACGTAATTCTCGCAAAAGTCCCTTAGAACTTTGCGAACTAAACTCACGTTACAAAATTGACGGCCATAATTATGGTGAAGAAAAAATAAGTCAAAATCGTTGAACTGTCGACGTTTAATATTGATCTTGATGCATCCAGAAGACGGAGAGTAAAAAGTTGTTTAGAATGTGCGTTTTTGGCTGGAATTCGGTCTGAAAATGGTTTTTTTATTAGTTTCATTTGAGATCAAAGAAAAGCATGCATTTTATGCAAATCGAATGGAGTTGAGAGGTACGTTAGAATGGCTAACCAAAGAAAATAAAAAGTAGAAAGAACAGAGATGGTCTTCAGGTAAAGGGGCAGAGTAAAAACAGATAATCAACAGAATATTTACCTTTTATGCCATGGAAGTTGCCATGGAAAAATATGTACGGCGTCTGCATCCATTGTACACGTAACCGTTCAAATGCGTCAAAACGATATATCCAATATCAAGTAGATTAAAAAAATATATATGGAATTTCTTATCAATTGTTGGAGACTGGTGTCATCAGACCTAATATCGCCTTCGAATGAAAAAAAATATGCAAATCACGGTTGTTCATACCCATTTAGCTACATTCAAACAGGTCACTTTGTGTAAATTCACATAAATCACACCACAAAAAGAGTGAATTGGTGCGGAAATGTGAAAGGCGAAAATGTGAACTCAAGCAAGAAATAAAAATTCATGATTTTCAAGGCGTATGTTCAAGAAAATGACGAAAATATGAATGTGTCGTTCAGTTCCATCGAAGCAATGTGAAAATGTTGAATTTGTTTGTCAAATATACCAGAATTAATAGCAAGTTTTTAACTTTTTACATCAAAATGACAGCGACACTTGTTATGCAATCGTTTTTTCCATGACGATCTTTTCCCCCCAAACAACCATTATCATGGCAAACAGATGCATTGTACTAATTATATTCCGTTCGTCAAAAGAAATGCCCGAAAAACAGTGACAATCCACACGATGGTGTTGATGTGAGATTGTCGACTTTGGAAAAGTGGAGTGAGAGCGAGCATGTAAAGCGGAAACGAAAAAAAAACCAAATCGCATGACAAATGGATGGAAACGTACGAGTGATGTATGCGCTTGGGATACATGTCAACAAAACGTCTCCTGCTGTCATGTTTCATTTGTTTATCCCAGACATTAGGTTTGAGCTATGGATATAGCGGCTGCTATTTCATAGCTGCTATTCATAGGCGCTATTTATCTCGTTTTAATGCATTTATGCATATTGTGTGTTATTTTCTACATCTCTCTCGTACTCACATTCAAATGTACAAAAGAATAGTAGGCTATGATATTCCTACTCGGTGTTACACACAGCACACGAATTAAATAGCGCCTATGAATAGCACCTATAAAATAGCAGCCGCTATATGCATAGCTCGAGCCTAATGTCTGGTTTATCCAGAAACTTCGACGGAGAAAAAACGGTACGAAATGACTGTTAAGACAAACCATGATTTACAATGATGAGAGAGAGAGAGAGAGAGAGAGAGATACATGATTCAAACTCTTTTTGCAACCAATTAAACACACTTACGAGATGTGGATTTGGAAAACTTCAACTGCTTGTTTTGATGACAAATTTGTCACGGTTGTTAGAGATTCTCTAATAGAGCATCATTGTCACCTAGATTGTCACTTTTTTAAATGTATGATATTAAAGAAGTTTGACAAAATTTAACGAATTTGAAATTGAAAAGCATTTATTTAAATCATTCGCGTACAGATAATGGAATTTAATCACCATCTTTTGAAAATAAAAATAAACGAAACATTCAAGGTCTTAAACATCGGGGATTACACCTTCCTGTAACCGTGTATGATATGATTTTTCGTGAAATACATTGCTCCTGGTGTGGATCAATTGATCATCAGTCATGTGGCTTGTCACCAGGAGCAAATCATTTGAAATCATAAGCATACTTGTGCATATAAAAAGAATCTTTTATTCAGTAGCGTGAAATGAATACTTGAATGAAGGAACTTTTGGTGTCCAATCAAATTCTTATAATAAAATTGATGGAGAAAATATCACATTTCTTTCCCAGACCTATCCTCGACTACTTTTAACTTTTGCATTTATATCAGTGGTTTGAAGGTCAGAACAACACATACTAAATGAATGAGGTCAGAACAGCACGGAGGTAATTAAATGAAATGTGAATAAATGTTTGTGTTGATTAGAAATGTAATCTCAAAAAGTACAAGTTAAGTCAATAGTTAAGCGTTTTTGAACATTTTCGCGTGAAACAGCTAGAGTCATTTTGACTTTTCCGGCCGATAAGTATATTGCACGTGTTTGATTACGCTTACGACTTGGACAGCGAACTGTATTAATCTAAATAGTGTTTGTTTAGCAATTTTTTTAGGTCACTTTCAAATAGCTTTCTAAGGACATTCGAATCATATTATTTTCATCGATTTTCATCAAATATGAATGAGCAAAAATCATGTTCTTGTCGTATTACAATACCTTACAACCTCTGAGCGTTCAAAGAAGTAAAAATATTTGGGTGAAAAAACAAATCCAAGTCCACCGTCATAATAATCATGTTTGTAAATAGTTGTTCGGTGGGTTCGTGTGCTAATCACGGTCTATGACCGGTAATTTGAAGAAAAATTGTCTTGTTCGTGTCAAAAAAAGCCACACAAAAAATTCAAACAATGTAACATTTTTCAATGGTAAAGTTTTGCGGCGCTTTTGAAGCACCAGCAATCTTGTTAAGCGTTTTGCACGGACAAATAATGGAAAGAAGTAGTGTGTGCCAAAGCCGAAGGAAGTATAATCCAGCCGTGATTAGAGCCAATAAAATTGTTCACCACAGTATTCGGCACTGGGTGTCATTTCAAACGCGATTTTTTTTTGTACGGATATTTGCAAGTATAATAAGTTATCTGAAGGGCTTTGTGTTGGACACATCTCACCTCTCTCTCTCTCGGTTACTCATCTTTTTCTCCCTTTTGCACAGGTAACAAAAAACTTTTTCGAAAAGTCTGGCTTTGCTAATAATGACACGATGATTAACCGTCATCTTCATGAACATGAAATCATAAAAATCTCAAGAAGAGAATGCCTAAAAAGTTTTGACACAAAAAAAAACTTGACAACTGAGTGTACTTTTACGCTAAGAATATCAAGTGAATAGAATACACGGAAAGAGGGAGTTTTTTCCGCACTTTTCACAATGAAACATCATTCTTTGTTAATTATTCAAATTAATTCTTTCCGCCCTATTGAAATCGACGCCAAGCCATTTGAAACTGAACCTCATGAAAAATTATAAAACAACATTAAACGGCTCAAATAACCAAAATGAATGTGATGATTATGAAGTTTTAATTATGTTTTATTACCAACAATATATTATTTCTTCCGCTTCATTCAAATTCTTATTTCGGATGATGTTTACGAGTTTAAAGCAAAGCCGGCAACTTCCTAAACACAGATTAATCACATTTTGATGTTTTGAATGTGTATTCCTTTGATTTTGTTCTGCGAAAATACGTAAGTGGTGGCGTTTAATGACGTTTACCTCGGGACGGTTGGGAAAGTGGTTCTTTGTAAAATTCATATTTTTAATTCGCGCCAAAGGCATATATTTTCGCTTTTCGATTTAAAAATAACAAATATTGGTGCCAAGTGCTCATTTAACTGAATTAACACTATCTGATGTACATTGTACAACCGTTTTAGGAAAAAAAACTAAGATCAAAAAGGTCATTGCCATCAAGACTGATAATGACCGATTTTAGAGAGCGAATGAAACCATTTAGACATCTTTATCGCAAGTTGTGCTGCTTATAATTAATTTAATTCGCATCAGTGCGTAGTAAACACTGCTATACGTAGCTTGGTTTTGTGATCTTATTCAAAATGGTGAATATTTTATATATTTTGTCGTTTTGCCATTTGATTTTAACGGTGTATGGTGACCGCAATAGTCCATCTATCGAAGAGAATCAAATCAAAAATTTCACCAAATTTCTGGAGAATAGTCTAAATAAAACAGTTTTGGAATATACGTTGAAATCTTTAACAAAGCCTGGTGATAATTTTGGTGCTGTATTACGATCGGTTGTTGTAAAAGTAGCCGATGAAGAAAATGATTCTGACGAAGTGAGTTTCATCGATTCAACAAAAACTTTAAAGAATTCAATCAATACACACACGGGAATAATGTATAGATTATTAGTAGAAATGATTTTTTTTCTTAAATCTATACAAAAGTTTAGATATCTCAACAAAAATTTATTTTTTATTAAAAAAATATTTTCTCAATGTCAATAAATATTGCGATACATATTTATCAACGAGCGCCAAAATACATCATTTAATACAGCCTTTTCTCTTCACACGAAAGAACAACAACAATTACATGGCTACACTCGAACGGCGACTATAGAGAATGCAACCACTACTTATGCAAACAACGTTGTCGTTTGTGTCTTACATGCTTCCACTGACTCGCCAGTTGAAGTGATGCATGTGTAGTAGTTGACTTCTATATAGTTGCTGTTCCAATGTAACAAGACACGTTGTTTGCATAAGTAGTGGTCGCATCCTCTATAGTCGCCGTTCGAGTGTAGCCATGTAATTGTTGTTGTTCTTTCGAGTGAAGAGAAAAGGCTGTATTAAATGATGTATTTTGGCACTCATTGATAAATATGTATCGCAATATTTATTGACATTGAGAAAATATTTTTTTAATAAAAAATAAATTTTTGTTGAGATATCTAAACTTTTGTATAGATTTAAGAAAAAAAATCATTTATACTAAAAATCTATACATTATTCCCGTGTGTGTATTCTTAAAACGCAGAATGATATTTACAACGTTGTCATGAAAACACCGGTGACCAATCCCATTTTGGCTAAATTTTTCAAACCAGCAGTGACATTTGTAAATGAGGTTCGCTTTTATACGGATATCATTCCGGCTTTGGAACAGTTTGAAGAGATTGCGAATGTACCGCTGGAAGAGCGATTGGACGCGTTAATTCCATGCCTTGGATCGAGATTTTCATTAAACTCTAGTAAGCCATAATATGACTGATCTGAATTAAGAGAAAATATACATTTTTCTAAATTCACAGACGCAGAATATGCTGATTCCGATGCAATTTTATTGCTTGAAAATATTAAATTTCAAAACTTCACCAACGTAGATAAGCACATCGGTTTCAATACAAATGAAACATTGGCGATTCTCAAAGTATTCCACATTCCAAAGCCAACGTTATATAGTTTCACGGAAGTTTTGAATTTCATTCGTAGGTTTTGGCAAAATATCATGCATTGGGCATTGCAATTAGACGATTGAAATCAACATTGTATAATACAAAAATAGATCCTTATACAAAATCACACAGCCTATGGAAAGAAAACGACAATGCAACATACGAAGTATATCAAACCTAAAAAAAATATATTTAACACGTTGTAAGAAAAATGTATTTTTCAGTTAATTTATGGCGAGCTGAAACGTGTTCTTAATCTCACTTCGGAAATGAGTGATGCAGTTGACAACATGTATGCAATGCATGAGAAATATATGAAAGACTTTTCCATTGCCATTGACACACCGTATACGACAGTTGTTCATGGCGATTTATGGTTCAATAATATTATGATCAGAAAAGGTTGTGATCGAAAATAAATGAATTCAGGTTTCTGAATATTAAGTGTTGATTTTTTATGTTTTTAGATACCAAATCGATCAAAGTGAAAATTTATGATTTTCAAACGTATTTTTATGAATCATTTGTATTTGATTTGTCGTACTTTTTATTCACAAGTGTTGGCAACATTGATTTGAATGCGAATTTCACGTTGTTCGTTGATTATTATATTTCGGAGTTTCAAAAAATGATGAACTTGCTAAAATGTCCAATGGACGATTATACTCATGAAAAGTAAGGAAAGAGTTGGGAAATGGATGTTAATATTTCAATTCACAATCACAGAAATACATTTATTTTTTTCAGGATGTGGCATGAATTTCGAGAAAGGGCAAAATTCTCGTCATTTTTCATCATTTTTCATACGAAAGTAGCAAATGCTAATTATGATTTAATGCCATCACTTGATAAGTTGGATAAAGATCCATTGCGGTTAAGTACACCAGCTTCCAAAGCTGCCATTGATCAATGGAAATTCATCATTGATGTGTTTATGCGAAATGGTCTTGTTTAAACAATATTCCGTGAAGCCATCACCAACAAAAATTAATTTTATCCATTTATGCAATAAATATTATGAACCGATTTCTAAAACATTGAACATCAAAACAATTCAATAAAAAGTTTCATTTGCATCTGAAAATGAATTTTTATTGTTCATTGTTGATTTTTGATGAACAAAAACATTGTTCGAATACCTAAGTATTTGAATTCAAGGTCATTCGCCGAAAGTGAAAATTTATTTCTATTCCCAAGACAAATTCAAAACAATCTGAAAAAAGTTTCAAAATAAAACGATTCGCCATGTTATGTATTTTGTCACAGATTTTATCATTTTATTTAAATTTGATTAATTTGAATTTCAACGCATATAGATATAATTTAATATGTAATAATTATATTTCATCTTCATCATTCTGATTAATGTGTGTAATGTCCAGTTAAATTTAAATGTGTTGCTCATTCGAAAGTGTGTTGACCATTATTCTCGGTCGTTTCCATTTCGTTTATTTTAGGTACGTTAATTAGCTAAATGTAATTAAATGTTCATTTAAAATTATTTACAAATGGGAAAAAGAAGTTCGACCCATTCAGAGACAAACACGATGCACACATGCCAACCAACTTCAAAATTTTATAACATATTTTTGTTGATAAATTAAGACGAATGCACTCTGGAATGGAATGAATGATTTTGAAAAGGTTGAATTAAACTGAATGGAACCGAGAAATTATGCAAAAATCTCATTTGATTATGCAGTCCGATATCATTTAAAGTGAAGACTCTTTTGTGCCATACAATATCCGCCTTGGGCTATAATATGCACATGAATGCATAATTGAAAATGAAATGACACACCACATGTTTAAATGCATCGTTCATAATGAAAATCCATCCGCCAGTCATTCATTGGATTGAAGTAAGCATTCATCTAGTTAGACATTCTTCAAGTCTATTTTAATCATCATTTCGTCGAATTGAAATAATTTCCATTTACTAAATAACAAACATACGTTTTATTTTACCTCGTTTCATTCAATGATTTGAAAATCTATAAAACATTTGCATCAAAAGCTTTCGAAAATTCCATGAATGAGTGATTTCGGAGGGAACAACTTCAATAAATACCAATGTATTCCTTCGAAGTGCGGCTCACACACCTTCGCTTTGAAAATTCAATATCGTCAATGTGGTTGGTAATTTAACAAAATATACATGAAATGCACTTGTGAAAATTGTGAGGTGCAACTAAAAGCACTATGTGAACTATGGGTGTATGGATAAATGTGTGAAATGACATTCGTGTGAAGTTTACCGACAGTCGATTGTTGTACAACAAGCATTTAAGTTCAAGTGAAACAGGTATAATAACTTCAAACATTGCTTCAACCCAAAAATGTTCAATGTGCACTTTACAACTTATACGATACTCTATGTGGTGCACACACAAATCTTCGAATGTGTGCCGTTCGTGTTTGTCACTTGCACATCTCTCAAGCTTTCTCCCATGACAAGAGTCTCGTCAAATGGATTTTATACTTATTATTATACATTTATTTTATTAGCGAAATATCTCTTCACCACACGTATCATAACGGTTCAGAGAAGAGAGGAATACAATTTACCATATATATATATATCAATTTATGAATTACATGCAATTATTTTCTAGGTGTATTTGAAGTATTTATCTTTAAAACATTTATTATGGATAGATTGAGATATATCTAGAGCTCGATCTCATTGCAACGTACGCATCATCCATCATTTTTTGGTTTCACTTAAGTTTTAACTACAATTACGTTCGATTTTAATCGCTAACAAGACAAATCGATACAGTTTATCATAATGAAATTTTTCGATTTTCTTTTCTACTTTATTTACGATGAAGGATTTTGGTATCCATATTACATGGATGCGAAATCATTTTCAAAGTTTACAGGTTTTTAAAGTTTACTTAAATTGATGAGTTTTAACGTTCGGTGCCGGTTTTCTACGACATTCCATTTAATTCGGAATTATTTTACATGTAAATGGATGCCATGAAGGAGTTTTTCGGGTTTTTACGCATCAGAAATGGATGGTAAGTTCGAGCGAGTTACATGAAACCTCCTGTTTGATACACATTTATATGAAAAGTAATTGGATTCAATCTTCACACACAATTTTTGGTGCAGAGAATTCATTTTTTTCAAATATTCGTCTCAAATTTCATCTTGAATCGATTTTTTGATCAATGGAAATTTCTGCTTTTAAAATGGATCCGTCAGAGCTCTACGAATACGACAGCATGATAAATTCAATGCTTATGATTGGGTCCATACTTTTGGGCCAGGGGTGCGACTCGGAACGTCCCTTACTCTCCTCTCGGAACATCCACGAATGGCACCCCCTAGGAACTTCCAAGAGGCACGAATACTACTCTGTCCAAATCCGCTTTTTGCTCCAAAGAAACTCTACCGGTAAAGAAAAATGACGACTCCTTCCGTCGATGGCGATAAATGACAAAAAAATTCGTTTTCCATATTTTTCTTTCTCTCTCTCTCTCTCTCTCTCTCTCTCTCTCTCTCTCTCTCTCTCGTTGTTCGAAAAGTTATGAAACTTTGTACGATTAAGAATATTTTCTATGACTATCATCAGGTGGACGTTGAAAGAACTCGTGTAATCGCATTTTAAAATCATTTTTTTTTCCAGAGCCTCTTCAATTCCTTCATTCACAAATACCAATGAACAGTGAGTACAGTTATACACAATGTAGACAGAGTGGAAAAGCTTCTACTTTCCACGTCTTTTTACTCCATAAATAAATTAGCATTTTTCTTTCTCAAAACTTCATCAAAAGTAATCATACATTTTCATTCTTCATTTCCATAATAATCATCCGAATAAAAACACTTTTCGTTTCTCGTAAAGTAATCAAGTTTACAGTGTACACTTTACACGTTTTTTTTTTGTAGATTTGAATGTGTTTCTTAACATAAACTCGAACTAGAATGATAAAAATGTGTATTTTTTTATATAACCAATTGATAGATCATTTCTCATACGTTTAACTATAAAATACAATCAAACCATTGATTTTTGTATGCCGAATTCGATCGGCTCATTTAAACATTTATAATAATAATAAAAGTTTTATTTTTAATGCTGAAAATTCGATTTTTTTTCTCTTTTTTTTTGTTTTTTTTTTTTTTTTCTCAAGTTTTAATTTAAAAAATAAAGAAATTAGTAGACTATCACAATTGTTCGGAGTTTTTGTAGTCACCCGTATAAATAGGTGGCTGTATTTGATTCGGTATTTGGACTAGGCGATGTGGTTGTCCGTAGAATTGATGTTGGTGTCACGATTGAAGTTGGTATGATAGCGGTTGGCGGCGGTTGGGCAGCGATTGAAACAGGCAAAAATGTTGATGTATTTCGCAATGATGTGGCTGACGAATTTGGTGACAATGGACTAAGATGGTAGAGATGACGGTTCAATGTTTGCGTTGGATTTGCCGGTATTAAGATGTGATGCGGAACATCCGGTATTGGCGACGACGATGTTGGCCGGAATGTTTTATTTAAGGTTCCTGGAAAATAGCGGTGGTAAAGGAGATTAATCTTGATTCTTGAGGTTCGTGAACATTTGCAATTTTTTTGCAAGAGAAATCAAGGAATCGGTACTGAAATACCGACGAGCATTAAAAGTATGACCGAAAGTATCAACAAACATCGAAAACGTTCTTCAGCTACCATTTCGCTTCATTCATTAAACTACAGTTTTACGTGTTTTCGATGTTGTTTTATATCCTTTTAATATTTGTCGGTATTTTTTAGATCATGTGTTAATGCTTGGCGGTGGTTTTGGTACCGATTCTTCTCTTGAGAGTATAATACATCAAATTGTCAATACTTGTCACTTCAAAAGTCGGATATTTAGTTCTTGTTATGAAATATGTCAAAATAAAAATGTATTTTTTGATAAAACTGTTGAAAAAGGAGCGAAAAGTACCTAATGGTATTAAAAATTCAATGATAGAAAATGACAGCTTATCTCCAACTCTTGGTGACTGATTTTATTTGGACTTGATCATTTATTTAGTTGTCAGTTTGCGCTATTCGGTGCCACCAACAAAAAATGTGCCTCGAGTCTGGAACCTTCAGACCAAAAGTACATTTTTTTTGTTGGTAGCACAAAATGAGTTCTAAATAATTGAAAAGGTCTTTGAATCAGTTCGGTTACCAATGTTCAGAAGGAGTGGAAATGATGATTGAAAAAAGATTCAAAAAAAGTAAAATAGAAACGATGTGAAAAGTGCATTTCTCCAGTTTCTACTGAGTTTAGGTTGCATTTCCCCAACGGTCGAGTATCTCATTCAAGTAAAAAACTTCTCAAAACAAAAGACTAGTAAATGAAATGTTGTGCTGCTGTGCACTCAAACAATAAAATAAAAAGCTGTACCCATTTGATAAATTGTTTAGAAAGCAAGTGGTAGAAAGTATAGTTATTAAAATGAATGTGATCGTAATGATGAGTGGTTGTAAATCGATGCCATTGAAAATGTATAAATACGTACGTAGATTGTGTGGTAAAGTATGGTTGTAGATGCCAGTGGCCGTAGCAGCATTAACATTGGATGTAGATAGTTGATTGGATGGGGGTCGCATCATGGTGCTATGAAGTGCCATTGTCTGATTGCCATTGTATAAATCGGGTGTAACTAAGGCATATGATATGCTGCTAGGCTCTAAATTACCATAAGAACTAGGCGTATATGTGTTGTACAAATGCTGCTGCTAAATGAACGACAACAAATTCAAAATAGAACAACAAAAAAAATGAAATGGAACTGCAAGCAATATCTATATATATGAATCGTATGAAATGGTATGCTCACATTATTCCGGCTCGATATACTGGGTATTGACATTGGTGTTTTGAGATCGATATCGGATGTGTTGTCGGTGCATTCATCGTTTGTGTTGTTTATGGCGATGCCGGTGGATTTAATGTTGGTGTTGTTGGTGTTCTTGGTTGTTGTTGCTGTTGTATCATTGTCGGTTGTTGTCATTGTTGTGACAACAATTGTATCGGATGATTGAAGTTTGGTCATTGCATCAACGGTGGTTGATAGTTCGCTAACGCTGACCGCGCCCGAATTCATGGCGCTTGCATTTCGTTTGTGCAAAATGATTCGACCAAATACATACATAATTGAGCACAATAGAATCAACACAGCGATGCCAAAAAACAAACAGATGTAAAATATTTCGTCGTAATGAGCTGCAATGAAAAACAGTGCACGAATGTAATAAATTCTTTTATTTTTGGTTGTAAAATGGGAAAATGTTTTCGCGAAACATGATTCCGACAGAAAAATGATTTTCATTTCACAATTCAAATGCGACAGACACACACAAAATTGCATGATTCATGAACATGGACAACATCAAATTTACAAAATGATATTGTCTTTTTTCCACAATAAAATATTGTAATTTTGCAACTGTTTATCCACTTTCATCTTCCTTTCTCTCTCTCACTCTCGCTCTCGCTTTGTTGGCGGTGGCGAGGCGAGCGCGCACGGCGGTCGTTCATTATTCGCTCGAGTGTGTCGTACATGATGTTAAAGTCGAGGTGCATTTTAAATGAATCCGAACCGTGGACACATGAACCATTCGCCAGATGAACGACAAATAACAAATGCAACGAATAAATATCAGTCTTTAAACATTTAAATGCGACGGACCAGTGATAATGTTATGATTTTACGACTGTAGTATGGCCGGTTGGATTGAATGAGGAAAAAAATGCATTTTTCATGGATTTTCTCTTGCAAATGACAAAGAGGATGTAGTATCAGTCGAACGAGAGATCCGGCGAACAATGCAATCAACACGATTTAAAGTGCGATTCACAATATAATATCAACGGCACTCTCACTCGCAAATCCAGTTTATTTTCTCATTTTACCTTCCGTTTGCCTTGCCGTTACAATAGACACAACGAGAGTTACAATGCAAAGCCCATTGTTCTCGTTTTACAATCATTTTCCAGCTGTACTACGTGGCCAACATGCAAATTTCACACGATAAATTATTGACTGTAACAAAAAGCCCTCACAGAAGCGTCAACATTTCAACAAATTTCGACGTAAAAATGAACGCTCATCAGGTGCATCTTCAGTTGACATTCTTTCGCTTCTTTTACTTATTTATTCGAAGTGGACACGAATTTTGATCTCTTTTTCATAAGTTTTTTATCACATTTTTGGTTATGTTTTCACATTCGAATTTTTTAGACTTCATCTCTTTTTATGTTTCTCTATCCCGTCTATTTATTTTATATTCCGTTTTTCTTGTAGTTTCTCTTTTTTGCTTATTTACAGTGTCCTTTTTCTATTCAACTCTCTCTTTCTTCCTATCCCCTCTCTCCCCATATAACTCATTTGCGGAGTAATTTTATCGATGACGGGACTGTGCGGAGTTCAGCGGAGATAGCATGCAAATGCTGTGTGTACGAGTGCAACAGCGTTCTTTGCTGTTCATAGATTTATTTTGTCCAATCGTACATCTTAGTAGCCGTACACACAGCTAAGTTACTAATAATCTGCGTAAGAATGATACACATAGAAGTGCTGTTACCCTCGTACACACAGAGTTTGTATGTCATCTCCGCCAAACTCCACACAGTCCCGCCACCGTCAAAATTACTCCGCAAATGAATTATATGGGTCTTTATCTCTCTTTTCTCCCTCACTCTCTCCTCTGTATGTGTCTCTCTCTCCTTCACTTTTTCCTACATTCTTCGCCCACTCTCCCTGAAACCCCATCGCTTTTTCTGTCTTCAAATCTTCTTCACTGCTTTTGCAAATATTTTGTTCCCTTTCATTCAATTTTAATCTTTCTTCACATTTTATACACTTTTTCAGCCGTACAAATCAGCGCACCGTGTCGAAATGTAATTCAGTCAACACATACAAAATATGCGTTGAGCTTTTGTTTAAGCGTCAGGCTGAAAAACTAATTGGCACTAAGCGTATGGCATTTCGTCTGTTTGTTCACTCACTGTTGCTTTTTTTTGCATTGTATCGCTTATGTTCGCTAATATTCTCGAAAAATATAAAAAAAACTGTGCACATTTCGTCCGAATGCATGGTTGATTAAAATTCCCGACAAAATCTGTTGTGAAATGTGCACACGTCTGTGAAACAAAGCGAAATTTAAGTATGCCACTTCTGTTTCACTAGAAGTACCTTTTTAAAATTTGCACGTGAGCATATTTTATACGTGCGACGGAGAGGTTTTTTTCCTGCGACTTTTAAATGCACACGTTCATCATCATCAACGACGTGTCTAAAATTCAGCATCGAGCCCAAAAAAAGATATGATGGTGCGCAGTAAATTTTCCGTCGCTGCAAGAAAATTAATTAAACATGATTTCAACACATCGTCATACAAATTGACTGCCTACTATGAAATGCACACAATTGAATTGAAGTACGACAATCAAGAATTTGGAACGATGCAAAATACCGCCAACTGAGCTCCGTGTCTTTCTTGGTGACCAGCTTTGAAAGGCATACTCTAATTTTAGAATTTGCTTGCATTTTTTTGTCTAGAATTCTGAATTGATCGAATCAACAAAAAGTATACTCATTGAAAATTAATTGTTACTGGACAAATGCAGAAAAAAATTCGCCCATTCAATTTTCCACTTTGTAAGCAGTTATTTACTTGGAAAGTACTTTGCTCAGTTTTAAGGCATTTTTTGAATGCGAAATAGTTGCTTTATGAGAGGAAAAAGTCGTCCTTTTACTAAAAACTTGTGCGATATTCAAAAAAATAACGGTGCTGACGAGAAAGTGGTAGCTCAAAACCAGTATTTTTGGCAAAAATGTGTCAGTTTTACCTATCGTAATGCTTGCCCAAGGGTTCTTATGTCCTTTATGCAAATTGACATAAATTGCTGCAGCATAATAGATCAGAATAACTAGACTCTGGTTACCGGAGGTATCGGTGACGTACTTGAGCTTACCACACCGTGCAGTGTACATAGGGGTATAAGCCGAGATAACATCATCCGACATACCCTAGGCGGCAGTTAAGTATCTCTTTCGATTTGCTTGCGATTTTCAGCTTAATTCTCTACTCTTTTCAATTTTGATCGAAGTGGAATGAAAAATCCCCTTTGAATTTTTTAATTGGTGGATGAGCCCCCTCCTTAAATTTTGACCATTATCATACATTCCGTACACATTGTTATGCTTGTTACTGTAAAGCATTGAAAAGGTAATTATGATACGTCCATTCATAAATGTTGTTTACCATGTAATAAAAGATAAATACTATCTCGGATCGATGAGCAACGTCTGAAATTCCCCGTACCAAATCGCACTTTTATTGTTCAATTACACTTTATATTAATGGCAAAGTCCAGACATTTGCATTACATAAAAACTTTTTCATTTTTTTACATTCTTTCATTTCACTTTTCAGTCTTTTTTCGCATTTTTTTTTTCAAACCTTAAAATGCCTTCGAGAAAAAAAGTATGTCAGTTAATAGACTTACCTTCAGAAAAGGATCTTTGAATAGAATCCGAATTATTGGTGTCTACCGAATCAATTCCGTTGCCCTTGGCAATGGTTGCATTCGAATCGGATCGTGGTACGGTGCCTTGCAATTTCGGTGCTGGTGGAATTGCTTCTTTATAATGTCCATCGTCTTCATCAAGCTCATTTTCATAATCGGATTCCTGTTGATTTTGTTCATCCAATTCCATCGGCACATCGAAACTTTCCAGCAACACTTTTCTCGGTACTAAAAGCACAAAAAAAACACGAAAAAACTTGTTGTCAATTACAAACAAGCCACAACAGTTAATGCTAATCGCCAAAACTGGTGATTATAATCTTGTTATGGACTTTTTCACTGTCCAAAAGTGTGTAAAAAAAAAAACCAAACACGAAAACAACTTACCGCATGTGTAAACCGTTTTGAGATACATTCGAGAGTCGGGACGACATGGATTGCCAAATGTTTGTGTATCAGCGGATATGGTACAGCGTCTCCGTCCGTGGCACAATTGCATAACAGTCTCGGTGGCGAATGATACCAGGCAAGCTGTTGTGTTGTTAAACAAAAATTGAGCAGGAAAAAAAAGGAGAGAGAAATGGAAAAAATGAGAGAAATTAAAACTGAAAGCAATGAAAATGCGAAAAAAAAATTATCGTCGACACACATTTAAGCAAGCATACACCCGTTCCATGATTGTACGTTTATAATCGCCATAAAATGCAAATCGGTGTTTTAAAACCACTCTTACTTTTTTTTAAATCGAAACACACGCGCTCGCTTTTACAGCTCTGGAGCAGAAGTTTCAGTAGCGAAACAACAACGAGTGAAACTGAAAACTGAGTCAGCGGAGACGGAATGAAAGTAGGGAAGACAGAGAGACAAACAGACCCAGAGAGAAAGAGAAAAGTAGGTAGAGTGTAGGGGAGATGTGAAACACAGAAAGAGCGAGATAAAGAAGCGCCAACAAATGGATAGATGAATGAATCGGAGAAAGCCAAGTAAAATGCGAAAGAGACGATGTGAAAACAAGTGAACAAAACCAATCGCATTAGCGAAGTTTTCATTATTATTATCGCTCGAACCTCGTCGTTACCATGAATCGTAACATTTTTTTTATTAACTCTTTTTGTATATTTGATGCAATTTCCATTCATTTCAAAGTCAAAATTATAATAAAAACATCGACAGTTTCAACAAAGAGTAAACAAACGTTGCTCCTTTTCCAAAGCGTTCGCAATGCAAAACTATTATAATTCTATTAAATTCGCCATTTATTTGCCGTTCTCTGTGCTGACGATGTTCGACATAATAATAAACATTTTGTTGGGTTAATTATGATTTGCTTTGCTAACGACAATCGATTTCACTTCGTTTTCGTTCAAAAGCTTTTATTCCTCGTTGAAATTAGAAAAATCTCTTTACATTTCAAAATTGAAAAACAATACGAACTCACATTTAATTAGCTCGAATTAGGGTTTTTCGTAACTATCAAATATCAAATAATTTTTTTCGAGGTTAAAAGAATTGTAAATGCAAAAACTTTAACGCGTTCTTTCAAAGAGTTGAAAATGTTCAGGGTCGTTCAAATTAGATTGAGGCTAATGCGAATTTCTTTCATATGATTATTACAGTTTTATTTGATAATAAAGTTAAAACAATGAAAATTGTAATAATCGCTTTTGCATTAATGAACATCGTAAAAATTTACAGAAACGGAGAGAATTACGCTAATTCTTTTACACAAAATGAAAACGAAAGTTCAAAGGGAATTGAAGTGAAAAGAGTTGCATATAAAATCCTCCTTTAAAGAAGGTAACGGCATATCATTTAGTTTGCTTTACTCAAAATTTATTTACAATATTAACTACCGAAACTGTTCTACGGCGTTAATTTAACTACGGTAATTTCGATCAAAGGGAGTTTATGTGAGTCTAATTTTTCCTGTTCGCAGTACACGTCATCGGCGTTTGAAGATTCAGCGAAAAGGGGTGAGTAAACGACAGTGTTTACTCTGTTTTTGGTTCGAAGGATAGGTCGAGGCTTGTAGGCATTAAAAATCCAAGTTCCACGACGTGGAATCCACGTCAATCTATTTTGGTAAATTTAGCCATCCGTAATCAAATAACTAAATTTAACCATCTTCAACCCATTTCTTTCAAGAGACACCCATGTCCATGTCCTTGGTCAATATAACGACGTCACTTCGTTGCTTTATTTATTGAAAACAAAATTGCTTCGAATTAATGATTCCAAACAACGTGCTATCCACTAAAATAAGATCCGTTTCGAATCAAATCGATTCGAAATGAGCGCAGAGAAGGATAAAATCAGTTCAAGGTGAAGATGAATTTGTTACGGAATGATTTGTCAACAAAATAATTTTCTTCTCCAATTTTGCTCCTTTAAATAGATTCATTTTTTCTGCAACCAAAGGTGAGAATATGTCATTTAAACCATTCTATACTTAAAGTTCAAGGTGGATCGCTAATATAAATAGTGCGTTGCTGCCAAACAATCATTTAGTTCATCATGTATCGTGAAAGTATTCAGTCACCGTCTAAACTGGCTAAAATCATTAAAAATAAATTGAACAGACAATCCAAATCAACTAAAAAGATGAATTTGTTGAAAAGTGTAAAAATTAACTTTCGAAAAGTGGATTTTTTGTCATTTGATCAGTGCAAATTTGTGACGTTTTGCCATCGATCCAAGAAAGTTATTCCAAAGAAAACTGTAAGATTCTGTTTTGAAAGGAAAAGTGTCTTGGAAAGTGTGAAAATTCATTTGAGAATCATTGGTTGTTTGCCGATGGATCAACGGAACTGGCCAAATTGGTGCAAAATACTTCAATTTAATCGCATTCATATTGCTTTGATTTTCCTCATCTTAATATTAAATCTTGTGTCAACATTTTGGTACTATATAAGCGAAGGAAGAACCATCGTCGATATATTGGAGTCGATTTTTTGGGGTAGTCGATCGGTTCTTTCGCTGGTACTTTATTCCATGTTCATTTCGTACAAGTCGGAAATAAAGAAGATATTCGATGATTTGGACGAAATGGTTGACAAAAGTAAGCCGTGGCTCTTTTCAACAGAAAATTCATGTTTAAGATTTTCTTTTTTCTCACATTAAGGACGACAAAGTGATTATTCAACAAATCTCTATAATAAAACGGATAAAAACTCAAAAATCATTCCGCGAAATGTGTGCGCTTATTTATTTGTCTTTGTTCCCGTTACATACATTATTCCCATCGTATTTAAATCGTATATCGGTTACTACTATTCATTAAACTCTTCATCCGATGCCTTTTTACTATTTTATAATATAGCGTGAGTTTAAATCGGTTTCAACACTTTTACAATTATAAAAATGCTTTTCTCCATTTTACGTCAGACTGCCATTCAATTGGAGTTCGGTGATTGCATATATTTTTGCAACAGCAATTGAAGTGATTTTTTTTCTTGGTGTCTTGGAAATATTCGTTACATTTTTTGTACTTTACATCGGTATTTGTCAGTTCTGTATGGCGTTTGCCATCGACATCAAAGAACGATTCGTCGATTTCAAGCATATCATTGAACGGTGTGATGGACGATATACTCCCGAAAAATGTATGGAAATATACGAAAATTTTCGTGAAATTATTGTATTTCATACGAATGCAACACAGTTAAGCTATAAATCGAATTTCATGAAGTGCCAAGTTTCATTAATTATAACTATAATGTTTTTTTTTCGCAGATTTTTAAGGGCATTTTCGAAATTTTATCAAAAATTTATTGCAATGTTTTTCATGATTTCCACGATTTATTTGAGCATTTTTTTTCTTCGTACGCATTTCGTAAGTGTGATGAAAAGGGATACATTTTCTAACGACATCTCAATTAATATATTTTCTTTTGGTATTTTCATTGGAGGATGTTAATGCCGGTTCATTTTTGTACATTTCACGTTCAATAATTCGATTGTTTGGATGGATTGTTGGTTTCTGTTACATTTGTATATATGGTGAACGAGTGACGGAAAATTTTCAAGAAATTGCCTACTCAGTTTATGAATGTCCATGGTATATGATGCCAACGAAAATAACCAGACATTTTCCCACCATTATGGTCATTGCACAGAGACCAATTTACTTGTATGGCATTTTTAACTATCGATGCATTCGCATTACATATCGAAGGGTACATATAACTAGATTTTTTACAAAACATATTTTAACATTTATTGTTTTACATTTTAGATTATTTATGCGTCCGTTTCATATTATTTGACATTGAGACGGATATTTTGAGGCGAATGAGAGGTGTTGTTTTAATGTTATGTTTGTCAAAGTATAGCAAAGTAGGAAAGGGTGGGATACGCTGTTGCAATATTTTTTTTGTCTTTTCATCAGTGATTCGGAGATTTTTGTTGTTATTTAATTATTTTTTAATCTATGACTAAAAATGAACTATTTCACTTTAACCAAATAGGACGGTTCGAGTTTTGGATTTGTGATTTCAATATTTCGCTCTTTAATTCGTATGTTTTGTTAGACTATTTGTAAATCTGCAGATGCTGTTATATTTCTTCCTCAATCAATTACCATTCAGTTTATGTCGCAATGGCCAATTTACCTATATGGACTCCAAATTTTCGTTGTACACGTGTTACATTCCGAAAGGTGAGAAATAGAAACAATAAATGACCGGAGAATAAAGAAAGGATTTTGCTTATTTCAGATTATTGATACCGCCTGGTATTTTTTTATGGTATTGAAAGAATGCGCAGTTTAGACACATCCACGATTCAATAAGGCATATCTATCCCGCTTCTGTCACATTAATGTCAATGTAATTTGAATGGAAAATAAGTATATGCCAGCAATCTTACTGATATTGCTCAATAATGATAGTTTTACTACTTATATACAGTAAAACCTTTTAAAAATGAACAGTTTCATAAAAATGAACAATTTCAAGTTAAGGTAAACCCAATTTTAAGAGCAGAAAATGTCTAAAAATCGAAAATATCATTTCGTCCCAGACATAAACAGTTTCTCGGAGTAGTGAAGAGGCACGCTCTGAGGAGCTCATGGAGGAGCTGGACGAACCAAACTTCTCACTATTGCTCTGAAAAACAGTTTCTGATTGCATGAAATTCCCTGAAAGGTTTCTATGCATGGTTGGAGCATCACTTTATCACGATATAAGTTTAACGAACTGTCTTTGTCTTTTTATCACTAATATTTATATTCACTATAATCAACAAATACACAAATCTATTGAAATTAATTTTGAAACAAATTGAACAATTACACTGATTAGATTTGGTTGGTTCAAATACATGTATATTGTTTTAAATGTATCATTTCGCACGTTTTGTATGTTTAAAACTGCTTCAATTGTTCGTACTCAAAATGTTATTGAATATTTGTGTAATCGTATAGCTAATATCGATTATGGTTGTGCGTCAGTAATAATTAAATTAATGTTAAATTTGAAATTATATTGTCAATGTATTGAATAAAATTAAAATAAAGAGCCAGACTTTTGTAAGATGAACTTTTCTTGGGTTTTACAGCTCTCATGCTTCCGGTCTTCTAAAGTTGGCAATCAAGAAGATATGTATTTCAATTTTTTTCTTTGTTGTCAGTTCCACAGCTACTGTCGGGAACCGAGAATATGCCTTTTTTACATTTTCAAGTGCTCTCAAAGAGCAAGAGAAGTGCCTATAACAACTCTTTCAAGTGTTGATAAAATCTGATAATGAAAACACCCACTGAACATTACATTGATTGATTTGATTACAAAAAAAACACGCTTATGACAGGTTTTAACTTTTTGGTCGATTCCAATAACTTTTAATTTACCCCTGTGTAAATGACACGCTTATATCTGCGATTAAAAAGTTCATGTAGTGAAAGAAATGTTTATTTTTGTTTGAGTTTTTTGTAACAGATAACAAAATAACATTGATAAGTTGCATCTAATCATACGTTTGTCTGTTTTCGTTCATTCAAGCAATTTTTCAAAAGTAATAGACACCAAAAACATGTCATATTAGGCGGTCATATCAAAAGTAAATACGGTAAGATAGAGGAAATAAATTCTATCTATCGAAGTAGCTGTAAACAACAAAAATGGTAAAATGTTCCGATATTTCAATTTTTAGTATTGATATGTGTCGGACTTGTATGTATGACCACTGGTCATATCAATATTGAATCAAATACATTGATGCGACATTTGTTATACCTAACAAGATTGTAAAAAACTCATGCAGTTCAGCATCGGTCAAGATATCAACACCGTTGCTTTAAAATACGTTCCAAATAAAGAGGATGATTGTTCTCGAAAGTGTTAGACGACATTTAAAAATTGTCGGTTGTTTGCCAATTTATAAATGGAATTTGCCAATTTGGTGTAATCATGTTTACATTGGACTAATATTTCTGTTATTGATTCTATATTTGGTGTTAACATCGTGCTTTTTCACGTTTGACACGAAAACATTTATTGATCTATGGGAAACAACATTTTGGACCAGCCGCTCCGTTCTTTCGTTGATTTTGTATTACGAGTTTATTCGCAATAGAAAAGAACTCATTCAATTCATCGACGATTTGAAGGCGATTGTCAATGAAAGTAAGGATTTCAATACAAAAAAACTTTTCGTGACCAAAGTTTTAAAAAATATAGTACAACCTTTCAGTAGGAGAAATGGTGAAATTATAAAAAAAAATTAAAAATCTATGAGACCGACTATACCAGTACTTGAGCATTCATTTGAAAGCATTTAATCTGCATCAAAATCTTAATTTTTTTTTAAATTTATAATTTTGTTAGATTTTTCATGATTGTCATCAATTTTTTTTTTTTTTGAAAATTTACGATTTTCAGTTTCCATCGTCAGGAAGCAAAAGAGATCATGTTTTATTCAAAATTTACGACCAAATGTTGAAAAGATCCAAACTGATGCCAAAGTACATCGCAATTTTCTGTTTAGAATCGCTCCGATCGCATACTTTCTACCAATCGTATTCAATTCCTACTATAAATACTTCAACTATTCATCTGACTCATTTAAGTTATTTTATCCAACGGCGTAATAAGACTTAAGTATAAATTTAGCACCATTGATGCCTTAAATATTGCATAAAATTGCCAAGGTCATTGTCAAAGTCATAAATAAATATTTGGTCAACTATTCCCAGATTGCCGTTTAATTGGAAGACACCAATTGGAAACACATTTGCAGTGGCATTTCAACTGCTAACATTTCTTGGTGTACGCGAGCTATTTTTGGCGTTTGTATGCATTTACATCGGCATTTGTCAGTATGCAATGGCCTTCGCCTTTGATATTGAAGAAAATATTTAAGATTTACACAATGACGTGGAATATTGTAGTGGAGATTACGCGGCACCTAAACAAACAGAAATCCGGAACAAATTTCGCTACATTGTTGCCTTTCATCCACAGTCAAGACAGTTCAGTTCTTCTTTAAATTGTGACGCAGATTCATCAACGTACAATGTCAAAAATAGCATTAGCTCCCTGAATGTAGACTTTTATTTTTGGTATTTTAGATGACTATATTCAGATAGAAGCTCAGAAAGAAACATTGTTGCGATCACGAAATGTCCCAATAGTACACTATTTATATCAAACTATCAATAGTAGCACTGCAAAAATAAATCCTTGGTATTAGTAAGTGACTTCTATGTATGGCCACTGGTCATATCAATATTGGATCTAATACATTGACGCGACAACAGATATAACCACCAAAATTACAAAAATTCATGCAGTTCAGCATCAGCGTCAGTCAAGATCACTTGAAGATATCAGCACCGTTTGTTCACAGTTGCTTTAGAATACGTTTCAAATAAAGAGGATGATTGTTCTTGAAAGTGTTAGACGACATTTAAAAATTGTCGGTTGTTTGCCAATTTATAAATGGAATTTGCCAATTTGGTGTAATCAAGCTTACATTGGGCTAATATTTCTGTTATTGATTCTATATTTGGTGTCGACATTATGCTTTTTCACGTTTGACACGAAAACATTCATTGATTTATTGGAAACAACATTTTGGACCAGCCGCTCCGTTCTTTCGTTGATTTTGTATTACGTGTTTATTCGCAACAGAAAAGAACTCATTCAATTCATCGACGATTTGGAGGCGATTGTCAATGAAAGTAAGGATTTCAATACAAAAAAACTTTTCATGATGAAAGTTTTAAAAAATATAGTACAACCTTTCAGTAGGAGAAATGGTGAAATTTTAAAAAGATATTAAAAATCTATGAGACCGACTATACCAGTACTTGAGATTCATTTGAAAGCATTTAATCTGCATCAAAATCTTGAAAGACAATAATTTTCTACTATTTTTACACTTTATTGAGTTTTTTACTCATATACGCATTTCTTCATCTATCTTCTTCACTGATGAAGATAGCATAGCTATCGAAATGCGTATATGAGTAAAACTCAATAAAGTGTAAAAATACTAGAAAATTATTGTCTTTCAATTATTTCAAATTACAAGAAAAATTTCAAAATAAACATAATCAAAATCTTAATTTTTTTGAAAATTTATAATTTTGTTAGATTTTTTTTTGAAAACTTACGATTTTCTGTTTCCATCGTCAGGACGTAAAAAAACTCACGTTTTATTCGAAATATACGACCAAATCAACAAAACATCCAAACTGATGCCAAAGTACATCGCAATATTTCTATTTAGAATCGCTCCGATCGCTTACGTTTTACCGATCGTAGTCAATTCCTACTATAAATACTACAACTTCAACTATTCATCCGAATCGTTTCAGTTGTTTTATCCAACGGCGTAAGTATAAATTTAGCACCATTGATGCCTTAAATAGTGCATAAAATTGCCAAGGTCATTGTCAAAGTCATACATAAATATTTGGTCAACTATTCCCAGATTGCCGTTTAATTGGAAGACACCAATTGGTTACACATTTGCGGTGGCATTTCAACTGCTAACATTTCTTGGTGTACTCGAGCTATTCTTGGCGTTTATAGCTATTTACATCGGCATTTGTCAATATGCAATGGCCTTTGCCGATGATATAGAAGAAAATATTCAAGATTTAAACAACGACGTTGAATATTGTAATAGAAATTGCGCAGCGCCCAAACAAACAGAAATCCGGAAGAAATTGCGCGACATTGTTGCCTTTCATTCACGTTCAGTACAGTTACGTTCTTTTTTAAAATTGTGTCGCAGTTGATATTCGAAAATAACTTTATTACTTTAGAGTGCCAACTATAATTCGATTCAATTATTTTTCACAGATTCGTATCAAAATTTTCAACGTTTTACAAAAAGTTTACATCAATATTTTTCATAATTACGTCGTTTTATTTGTGCATCTTCTTTTTACGTTTACAAACGGTATGTTAAGTATAAAAATGCAAAATTATAGAAAAAAAGTTCAGAACTGTGACTTGAATCTCTTAAAAAATTATTTTTTTTTTTGCAGGATATTTATGCCTGGGATTTTCTGAATATTCTACGATCAATTGTGCGTATAGTCGGTTGGATTGTTGGATTTTTCTTCATATGCCGCTTTGGTGATCAAGTAACGATTCGATTCCAGAATATTGGCAAGTCGTTGGAAAAGCACCAGGAAACTTTGGACTTTAGCGACGAATGCAGTGCCATGATTAAAATGGCCCAGAAACCAATACATCTCTACGGTTGTTTTAATGTTCGTTGCATTGAAGCTAATTTCCGTATGGTAAGCTATTCTAATTTAAAATACCTTTTCCACACTTTTAAGGAGTTTTCTCATTTCACGATTCTTTTTTTCACAGATGATGTACATGGCGTTCTCTTCATTCATTGTTATGAAGGCAATTATTCGCTAGATTTGAGTATTACTTCATTTTTGAATGTTTTTGAATTTGATTTCTTAAAATGTACATCACTTTTTTGAGAATAATAAAGAGATGGCATAAGAATGTGTTATTTTAACAGTACATTTTCAATATTCGAATTCAAATAGATCAATCGATATAGTTTTATCACAAAAATGTTTCTTTCTGAGCTCCTCTCTGAATATAGTCTTTTATTTTGCTATTTTCGATGAACGAGAAGCTCAGAGAGAAACTTAGAGAGCAACATTGTTGTGATCACACAATCGAAATGTCTCAACAGTACACTATTTATATTGTACTAACAATACTTGCACTGCAAAAATGAATCTTCGTATTAGTAAGTGGATTCGCAATAGAAAAGAACTCATTAAATTCATCGATGATTTGAAGGTGATTGTCAATGAAAGTAAGGATTTCAATACAAAAAAAAACTTTTCGTGGTGGAAGTTTTAAAAAAATATAGTGCAACCTTTCAGTAGGAGAAATTTTTAAAAAATATTAAAAATCTATGAGGTCGATTTTATCAGCACTTGGAACCATTTAATCTGCATCAAAATCCTTCTTTTTTTTTGAAAATTTACATGTTTGTGAGATTTTTCATAATCATCATAATTTTTTTTTTTTTTGAAATTTAAGATTTTAGTTTTATGAGATTTGTAATGATAAAATACAAAGTTCTGTTTATTTTTCGATTTCCATCGTCAATTTTCTGTTTCCATCGGCAAGAAACAAAAAAAACTCACATTTCATTCAAAATTTACGACCAAATCAACAAAAATTCAAACTGATGCCAAAGTACATCGCAATTTTCTGTATAGAATAGCTCCGATCGCATACTTTCTACCAATCGTATTCAATTCCGACTATAAATACTTCAACTATTCATCTGACTCATTTAAGTTATTTTATCCAACGGCGTAATTATAAATTTAGCGCCATTAGTGTCTTAAATAGTGCATGAAATTGGGAAGGTCATAAATAAATACTTGGTTAATTATTCCCAGATTGCCGTTTAATTGGAAGACACCAATCGGGTACATATTTGCGGTGGCATTTCTCGATGTACTCGAGCTATTTTTGGTGTTTATACGCATTTACATCGGCATTTGTCAATAAATGGCCTTCGCTGTTGATATTAAAGAAAATATTCAATATTTAAAAAACTACGTGAATATTGTAATGGAAATTGCGCGGCACCAGAACAATCTACATGGCGTTCTCCACCTTCATTGTTATGAGGTCATTTTTCATTAGATTCGAGTATTTCTTCCATTTTAAGTGTTATTGTAAGCGCAAATCACTTTTTCTTAAAAAAAATGAAGAGATCACATAAGAATATGTTATTTTAACAGCCCTAAAATTTCAATTCAAATAGACCAGTTCATGGAATAAATTCCAAATTGAGTGATATTATCATGAAAATATATCGTTTGTATTAATATTGGCCGTATTTCGAAGGAAATTGTGAACAGGTGTTACCATTCTCTCGGTCTTTATCAAAATTGTAACATAATTTGTGACTGTTCCCCTTTCATTTCTTGCAATTTACACAAAATGGTATTGTTTCGGTCAAACAGCTTGCTTTCCAGCCCCGTACTATTTCAGTTTAGCTTGGTACGTCATAGGGATTGCACGTGAACAAGATGAATAGTTTAAAATCGGTTAAAACTCATTTACAAGTGCTCGGTTGTATCCCGTACGAGTGTCCATTGAATTTACCAATTTGGTGTCAAAAAATTCCATTCAATTGCATTCATATTGGTTTGATTTTTGCATTGCTCACTCAAAACCTCCTATCAACCTTATGGTTCCGACTATTTGAAGCTGATACCGCGGGCGAACAAACACAGTCGACATTTTTTATTTGTCGTTCAACTCTCAGTCTGATTTTGTACTCTCGACTTATCTGGCAAAAAGTCACATTAACTCAACTAATTGCGGAGCTAGAAGATGTCATCGCCAAAAGTAAGATCAACATTTTCATTTTTGTATCATTTGTTTTCTCGTTTAAGCAAAATTCATTGCAGGATATAACCAATTCGTCTACCAAATGGCTAGAGACCGTGTAGAGTATACAAAAAATATTTATGTGAGAGCAATATTCACGTCAACGATATTCTATTCATCTCCAATTGTGCTTTTATCATTTTATCGACATTTTTCACTGGGAAACAACGAGAATTCGTTTCAGTTAATCTACCCAGCGTTGTAAGTGTCACATGTTATTAGTGAGAAGTTTGTCAATAATTTTTGAAAATTTTCAGCATACCATGTGATTGGCGACACTCTACCGGATATTTGAATATCGTTGGCATTCAAGTGTTGACACTTTATTTCACAACTCAAATTATGTTGTGCGTTCCACTCTTGTGCTATATATTTTGCAAGTTTTTCGTTGGATTTGCCCAGGACATTGAAGAGTGCTTGATCGATTTCAATAAGTCATTTAACAAAGAACGTGACGAAGACGGTATTGTTAGACTGACTCGTAGTAAATTTCGAATTTTAGAAGATGAATTGGGAAAAATTCTTTCATTTCATTTGGAAGCAAGGCAGTTAAGTGATTTTAAATACATTTTGATGGTAGAAAAGTAATAATTACATGAATAGAAACATTTATTATAGAAATACATTCCTTTTGCACACTAGGTGTGTGTAAAAGGCCACTGATTTCGTGTGAAAGTGAAAATGGGGAGTTGGTCAGTCCACACCCACGCAGAAGGTGTCGTAAATATAAGTGATTCTTCCTTCCCCCGTTCACGCTCACTTTCTCTATTCACTTCAAAGTCAAACACTTTCAATTTCAAACCGATTGACCGCATGATTATCACATTTCATGTTGCTTTATTTTCATTCAGTTAATCTCAAACTACTCGTTTAAAGCCAATACGACTTTTACTACCCGTATTAGAAGAATTCACGCTTCGTGTACACTCGGCACATCTTCGCTGCTTAGGCGAATGTCAGCAGTAGAATTCACTGCGACATGTTCAAAAAACATCAAGTAGCCATATGTAAATTTTTCACACTCTTTTGTGCGAACTTTCTTTGACTGTGTATGGCTATGAGCAAACACATGCATTAAAGTATTAGATGCACGACAGTTCGCAGTGAACTCAACGGCTGATATTCCGTAAACAGCGATGATGTGCCGAGTGTATGCGAAGCGTGAATTCTTCTAATACGGGTAGTAAAAGTCGTATTGGCTTTAAACAAGTAATAGTCAATTTGCTAGTTGAATTGAATATTTAAACTTAATTCTCTTTGTATTTCATCCAGGTTCGTGATACGGTTCACAAATGTATACAATTTATTCGTCAATTTGTCTTTCTCAATGAAAATACCAATTGTTTCAACATTACTATTGAACATCAATGCTGTACGTTCGCTTTATTTAGAACAATTGTATATTTTACATTTAAAAATATGTGTGATTTTTTCATCTAGGCTCTGATTTCCATGAATTTTTTCAAAACATTTCAAGCTTTACTTGCATTTGGCGGTTGGATCAGTTTCTTCTACTTTTTCTGTAATATGGGCGAAGAAGTTAAAAGCCGATTTGAAGGAATTAGTGATGCAATTTATGAGTGTGACTGGTTCGATATGCCATCTAAATTTCGGAAAACATTCCAAATCATAATGAACGTTTCACAAAAATCCATTTGTCTTCATGGCGTTAGCGAGAAATTCAATCGAAGACTCTTCACAAGGGTTAGTTTGTTTGTCTTAAGACATTTATAAATAGACTTTTCATTGAGGTTGATCTCTTTTTTTCAGCTTTTGTGCACTGTATACGCATCGTTAATTCTATCGATTTTCGTACCCCCCCGCATGCATCGATCGGATATTGTGAGAGACAAATAGTTAATTCTCACTGGAACGCCTAATATTTGAAGTGATTTGTAAAAATTACAAATTGTAATGGACGTAATACTTCTGACGTATATCTTTTAAATAAAATTCAAATCAGTTGTCGGACACCGAAAATTATACGCTTGAAATGAAATACTAAATTTGGTGTTAAAATACATGATGTTGAATATTTTAAATTCAAACATTAAGTCACCATGCTATCTTATAAATATTACAACTTTGCACCAATATGTTATTTTCGAAATGGGGTGAATATTCACCTTTTTTATCAATGGGAAAATTATGAATGTGATTTGTAAATGTTATACTGCCACTTAATCATTCAATAAAAATAACTTCAGAAAGGGAAGAATTTATTCTATGAATTGGGACCTATAATTTCAGATAAATGGAAACACCACATCATCATGTTATTACGTCAGTTGATCCAAAAATGATTTTCTCAACTTTACACAGGTTTTTTCACATACCAAATATCCGTCCACCACACACTGTAGGACCCACGCTAGGTACGCGGAATTGCGGAGAAATAAAAATACTTTTTCCCATAAAAACTTTTGTTTTAATAGAGCAAAAAACATTTCCAAGGCAATAGAACTACAAATAATTTTGCACTCACTACAAGGTGAAACAGTTATTAAAAGAGGTAAAAGAGGAATGGTTGCTTTTTTGAAGCAATGGCGGTGACAAAATCAGAAGAGCACACGCATAAGATTATTATTTTTGCGTTTTCATCGATCTTAGCAACGAATTGAGGTTGGGAATTCCATTCAAAATGCCAGTGATAAATGCCGCTATGAGAAGCTCAATTTTAAGAAAAAGCATGAATGCACAAAAGAGCGTCTTATTTCCTCCCAAAAAGTCCCATTCACCGTAAAAATGACGCATTGTTATTATCTCGTGATTTTAATTACAAACTCAATTAATTGTCATCAACGATGAGCAATTTTGAATAAATTCCACCTTAAGTGCGGTGCTCAAGACCGAATTTGCAATTGTTGCGTCAACCAAAAAGACAAAACCTTATTTAGTGAGGATGTTCATTTTCCGTTGCTACAGGAAATGATGACATCAATTTTGTGCCACTTTTCCCTCCAACTCTCTCGCTCACTCTCTCTCTATATTCAAAAAAGGTGTTAATCGCATTCAAGCAATTTGTTTGCTTTTGTGTGAGCTACAATGTGTGGTAGATTTAAAATTGAAATGTTTCGCTTTGAAAACAACAGTTCGAAACGGATGGTGAGAAAATAAGGAAGTGCTTTATCACGGGATCGTGCACACCCGTGAACACAACAATGAACAATGAAATGTCTCCGAAAATGGGGTTTCGTGTAATGTATCGTTATCGGTTGAGTGCTTTTCAATGCAATGAGACGATGCTCGGTCAGACTGTGTAAAAAACGAAAGACACTCCATGATGTATTGAAAATGAGACTTACGTGAGAAATAGTGTGCTATGTTTTTCGAATAATAGTTTCCAATGAGAGTACAGTGATGAATTTCAATGAAGAAAACATATTTTTCTTTCGAATTTGAATTTTCATTTGGTATTTGAATCTTACGGAACCGAGTGAATTGGGCAAAAGTCGACAATTGGCAAATGGAGACGCAGTTAGAGAATATGTGCAAATGATGGTTTTTGGCAAGTTTTCTGATTCATCGTACACTTAATCGCATTTAATTCACAAATTTTACCTCAAAACTATTTCCAAATGAATGTGCCACAAAACTGGAAAAGTTTATGCAATTCGAACTGTCGTTTGTGCAAGTTTGTACCCAAAATCCAATTGGTCAATTGCAAATGCATTTATTTATTCACATGCTACGTGTGAATTACGCAAGATATTTTAAATGCTACATAATTGCAAGGCGATTTGAATGGAACGAGATGTAAAATACACGGAGAGAAAGAGAACCAGATAAATTCTATGAAATGAACAAACAAAGATTATATAGCCAAATTGGAGCTGAGGTCAGAATAAATAAACAAAACTAATCGCTCCAACATTCGTTCACTATCTCATTGGTAATAATGTGGAAAAAGTGATCTGTCGCTTCGAATTGTTGCAAGACAAAGTGGGCGACAGAGACAGTTTTTGTAATGAAACCAAACACAATTCCGGGTATTTCGGATTGCTGTTCCTTCTCTCTCTCACACCCTTGAGTAAAAGCATAAAGAGGTTGACACTGTAATTTTTGTCGTGCGAATAGTAACACCAGTGCGCGTAATGTCATGCCATTACATTCATTACACACACTGCTCCATATTCCACATTATATATTTACTTTCATCTTCAAATTTCCCTCGTGCTTTCTACCGTTCATTTTCTTTTTCATAGAAACTTTTATTCTCTCTCTCTCTCACTCTCTTTCCCTCTCTCTCTCTTCCTCTCTCCCACTCTCCATTGCTTTTCCTCGGCTACCATTTCTCCTTCTCTCCTTCACCTCTTTTCTCCATTTGCATGGAATAAATTCCAGGCATTTGTTCAATATCAGTGTTAGCAGAGGGCTTAAGTGCAAAAACCCACTCAACTGCAAACGATCCTCTTTGGCAAACAAATTTTCACATCGAACGATGCCGTTTCGTCGTTATTTTCGTCTTGATGCTAGTTTTCGGATGCTATGAAACTGTAATGAAGGCGTAAGGCGTGAAACAGTGACGCGACACACAATGTAATTATCGCTGTTAAAAATATATATATTCAAAATAGAAACATTTTCGATGCAACAATATAAACATATAAGCAGAAAATTACATATTACACAAACATCTCCACCTTCAACTTTGACTTTTTCGCCTGACATTCGTACGAAAGAGTCGCTGTGATTTACTCGATGGATGCAGAAAAGTCTGAACAGTGCATAAGGGATGTTTTTGTCCTAGAAACCGAAAATTGCATAACAACCAAAAATCCATATATTCGCATTGAATCTAATCAAAAATTCTTCTCAAATACGTGCCAAACATGCGAAACAAACATATAGTGCGCTTGAAAGCCACACGGCATGTTTTGCGCCTGATTTAATTATACTCTAATTTAAAACAAGTTTTCTCACATTCCTGCCTAATTTGCAGCTAATTGTCGACGGTACATGGCGTCGATGTCTATATTCGAACATTTTTAGCTGCAAGATTAATAAATCCGGCACAGTGCACGGCTTGCATACCTCTTTGATTCGAAGGCTAAAATGCTATTAAAGGTTCTTCTGACATTTTTTTAGATTTTCTTCGAACTTTTAGATTTTTGTTTGAAAAGTTTCGAATTTTCAAAATTTTTGAGGTTTTTTGAAAAATCAAACAATTTTTTAATAAGTTTGATTCAAAGAAAGAACTGCATCTCATCAAGTTATACATGCAAAATACTTACTCTCTTCTTTGATGCCTTGCGGTTGAGTACACTGAATGCTCTCGTATTCGGTGCGCCCGTAGCTTGCACTGTAGCAGAATGTGACGTGTTGGAATTATGGAAACAAAATAAATTAGTTAGTTTCAGAATTGTATTGCCGGCATAGAAAATCGAACAGATGACGAAAAACGTGTTCAAATTACCTGTAAATCGCAATTCGTGAAAATGGATTGCACACAAGTTGAATGACCTCATTCTCGCATGCCACTTTACTACGAAATTCGTCTATAAGCAAAAAAAAAACATAACAGAAATGTTAGAAAAGTCGAAAGTGCATTTCCGAGATTTTTCGACTGGCTTTTGGGCATTTGAATGGTGAATAGGGTGGTTACGAGGAATGAATGTTTTTTGCGAAACGAAGATTTTCTTCGTTCTTAGAGAAATCAATGTATTGAACGGACGAACAACCCATTTGAACACACCCTATCACGTTCGACCAGGTGAAAAATCTTAATTTTGTGCATTTTTTTTTTTATTTTTCGTTCAAAATAGTTCATTTCAGTTTAAAGAATGAATTGAGTGTATTTTTTTCTCCTCTCTACTTACAGGGACGGCATTTGTAAGCATATTCGATGATTTTTCGTATACCCGGGCATGGATTTCCGCCAAATGACTTGGGTGCGGGCAAGAATTTGCAGTGTGTTTTCTTTTGGCAAGCTTCGATGGCTGTTTGCAGCAGCGAATACTGAAAAAAAGCACAAAAGAATAAATGAAATAAATGTATTATAAAAGATGAAAAGTTTCTCATTTTAAAAAGTTTGTTAATTGATTTAACACACATACACAGAGTAAAAGCAAGATTGTGATTAAATTCACTATCTTGAGCGCAAAAAAGCGGTGCTCTGATGAATTGGCGTAAATATTTTAGGTGGAGAGAGAGAGTTTTATCTGATTTAGAGTTGGTTTCGTGAAAAAGACTCCCATCAGAGAAAAAAGGCGAGATGCGAGAGTAAAAGGTGAGAGTTGAGCGCATTTTAAAAACTGTGATAAATCGAATACCATATTTCATATTGTAAAGATAGTATGCGCTGTCGTGCTGCTTGCAAACTTGGTGGACGATGATCAAGTGAATAAAGTCACTTCATCGACCGAATCACGACCGTACAAACAACAATGGGGAAAAATGCAGGAATCCCTACAGCAAATGAAAAGAAGAAAAAGAACAATGGCATTTGACTAGATGGGGAGACACCGAAAAAAACAGTCTTTGCCAAAAATAGGAAAAGAAAAAAAAAAACAACAGAAAAGTATGAAATATGATACAGTTACGTTCGAAGAATCTTAATAACTTTTGTAAACGGAGGGATTTTTAACGCTGGATTTGGATTTATGTGTGTGTACATTTTCAAATTTAGTTTTCGCACTTTTTGCGATCTCTCTCTCTCTCTCTGTGTGTGTGTGTGTGAGAGAGAGAGAGAGAGAGAGAACTGGTGCTTGGATAGCAAAATCAAAGTTTTCACTGGCCATAATTTTCGTCGTCGTTTGCATTAATTTCGATGACAAAATTTATTTCACAGTTTTATTTCCCAGTTTAGCTCGGTGTGTGCTTTTTCAGCGTAGATTTGCAAGTTAATTTTTGCACGTTGCACACAACGGTATTCGCATCTAGTCATCGCATTTGCTTCTCTTGTCATTACACTTTAGATATACGAATCCTTTCTCTTGTTCGCTTCCTCTCGCTTTTTCTTTCACTGTCTCTCTCTCTCTCACTCGTACTAGCTATTTGTTTATTCTCTCTTTTTTGCTCTTGCTTTCTCTTTCTAACTCTCTCTCTCTATATATCTATCTCTCTCTCTCGCTTACAAACTTTTCTTCCTTTTTTAACACTCAACATAGAGAACCTATGTGCTGTGAGTCTAAAAGTGGTTAGTGTGTTAAAAATTGTAAATAAATCGTCATCTTTATCGGTAGTTATGCAAGCATGCACGGTGTGTACTTTGCATTTTTTACGCCGTTGGCCCCTTGAATAAATTTGCAGCGATTAAGTCGATCCAGTGAGTGTATTTATTCACTCTCCTTGTATGTGAGCTCGTAAAAAACGCTCATTCATATTTTCTCTCTCTGTGTCTCTCTCTCGGCTTACGACTGCATAAATTCTAATCGATATTATTGAGTTATAAAAAGTGTCGTTTTTTCCCTCGCTCAAAAAATGCTTTTAGGACTCTATTAAACTTTTCCAAAGCGCACCAAAACTATACAATGACATGGTACTCCATGTCGTGTGTGGCAAAAGTTGCATAAAATATATATTTCTAGAGAAGACGGAAGAAGATTTAAGTTTTGATCTGCACACACACACACACACACAGAGAGAGAGAGAGAGAGAGAGAGAGAGAGAGAGAGAGAGAGAGAGAGAGAGAGAAGGAGGTAGAGAAAGAGAGACAAATCAAAATGCATGGCCACAATCCGCCGAATTTACAACGCTCAACCGATTTGGCATTCGTATGTAATCCGGTTTTCTCGTAAATTCTTCAAACCAATGCAATTTATAGATCGATTTGAAAATGTGATAAACTTGTTGGCAACCGATGCCATCCATTCGATTATGAATAATTTCGATTGTAATTTAAATCGAATCGTTCATCATTCAGTTTCTTGTTTCTTTTTCAACATCGGCCTGCAGCACAATGACCTATATATATTTTTTTGCGGTAGAAAGAGAGAAACATAAGGAGAGAACGAAATATGATTGTGAAATGCACAAAATAAAAACACGTACTTGAAACTGGTGCAACGCGATAAAAAAAAGCCGGTCGTTTGAAAAAAAAAATCGAGCAAAGCCAAACGGATATTCATAAAACTCTTACTTGCGCGCAAAGCGGACAAAATGATATAATGTCCCATTGTAAGTTCTTGGTTTTCTTCGAGGTTGAATTTTCACATGCAAAATATTCACCACTTATTTCATAATCCTAAGTGACAAGCTGGAAAAAAAATCGTCCAAAACCTCTTCTTCGCTTGTATTGTGAAGTTTTCTCTTTTTTTCGCCGTTTTGAAAGTTTTTTGCTTGCATCGTGTCGGATTGTCGTCCACCAGAGGGAAAATATACAAAAGATTTTACGACAAAGAAGAAAAGAAGTGGGTAAAAAGCTACTTCTTTTCCCACAATGAAATCAAAGTCTTAAAAACATGTACCGAACACATATTTTGGCATCGAGCGCACGCAAAAAATGCAGTTTTTTTCAATTATCTCCTGCATTTTACCAAGAAGGTGTAAATACGCTCAAGTTGGAGAGACACTTCATTTCATTGCAAAATCACTTTAGGGCTAAAGACGCTCTTTTTGGCAAAGGCAAAAAAACGAAGTTCGAAAAAGGTTTTTCAGATGCGAAAAAGAATGTTAAAAACATCGCTGATATAATCGCAAAAAACAACTCAATTCTGGTTCATTACAACGAACACACGAACCCGTTTAAACGAAACAAATTCGCACGCGGAAGTTTGCATGAGTAAACAAACCCCGCATAAAAACGAGCATTCTAATGCAAAAACAAAGTGTTGCGTGATTATTGGTGAAATGCAGTGAACTGGACGAATTTGATATGGAATTAGTATTCATTTGTTTTTTTAATTTTTTTCCATGCAAATACAATATTTGCTCGTGCCGTCTGACCAAGTAAAATCGTGAAGTGAGTGGATAAAAAAGTTTTGCTTCGACAAGCGAAAACAATAGAATAATCAGGAAATTTTTTTTCTCTGTCTTTTCGATAAGAATGGGAGCAGAATATAAATTTTTAATGCAAAGGACGGAACCGAACTCATGTACCTGCATGAACGTTCGGCTCGATGAAAAATAGAAAGAAACCGAAGTGGACCGCATGCAGAGTGGACAATGGCTTTTGAATCAAACGCCATTCTCTTTGGAGTCAATGGAAATTTATAGCTTGCATACGAGACAAAATATTTGAATCCGGAGGAGTTAGAGAAAGAGGAAAGATAGCAATAGCGAGAGAGAAAGAAAGAGAGTAGATAGAGGGAGATATAGAAATCGATGAAGAAAGAGAGCAAGAGGGAGAGAGAGACAGGGAAAAATATTGAAAACGTAATCAGAACAGTCAGAGCTGCATTTTCATGGTTGAGTTGAAAGCAGCCGGGGAAAATTATTTTTCTTGGGAAAACAAATTTTTTTCTCATCCAAAATGAGATGGAAACTTTTCAAATTTTCCAAATACAGTCTTAATTTTTGTTTACATTCTCGAAAATTGTGAATTGATAAGAAATAAATAAAAGCAATTTGTGTGCCGGCATTTTTTCTCTCTCTCCCAGTCAAAACATTGATTTTTTCGATTTACAAGTGTTTTTCGTTGCTCTATATTTTTGCTAGACGCTTTTTTTTCGCCCGAGAACATCATTGTCGACTATATTGTTGATCAAACCCTGTGAGATAAATTGAAACTCTCCAAAGTTTTCGAGTGAAAAAACACGCACAAAGTTCAAATGGGCAACATTGATTGGAGGATGGGGTGCAATTATTATGAATGAACCTTGGCCAAAGTTCTATATATACGTAAAATTAGAATAAGCATTTGTGTGTATTTAAATGAGGATTATGTGCTGGCGGCCAAAAGAATTTTCATCTCATTTGCTTCGTCATTCTTTCGAAAAGAATTGCACTCAACTGAAATCACTTCAACTTTGGCGACGAATACAAAGCGACGGAATAGAATAATCTCGACCCGCACAAATCGCTCTTTAAATGGCCACTTTTTTTTAAGTTGTCCAAGAGATGTGTTATATCTCGAAAAGTACGGTGTTACAAATTGATCCGTCCAATCTTGGGGTGTGATGAGAATGACACTCACTCCAAACATGGTGTGCTATTAAATCCTGGCATTAAGATAAAGTGGCCTGATGCCACCGCACAAAATGGCCGTTTTCGCACAAAATACAGTTGAGTTTTTAAGTTACATAAAAGAAGAATTCGTCTGAATCGGTGTCGAATGTCTTGTTCTTTCCACAAATTTAGGAAAAAGTCTTTTATTTTTATTGGTGGCAAAAAAAAATACTTGAAAGAAGAAAAAAAAGAACTGTGGGGAAAAAGAGAGAATAACGAAAATTACCTGTAATGCATTGGGCCAGAGACAGCTTTCTTGGTGGCTGACAATGTCATTGGTACTGTGCGACGATGTACCATTAGCGGTGGCATCTGTTCCAGTCGCAATTTCTGTCGATGCGGTCGGACACAAACTGTATCCATCTGGTTAATTTCGGTATATGGAAAGAAAAAGTTAAAAGAAACATTTAGTCGAGAAAAAAAAAATGTTTGGCGTCTTAAATAAAAGTCGGCCGAAGAACAGCAGCAATCGAATGAAGTGGTCACAGCAAATATTAACTGGACGTTGTTTTTATTGAAATATGAAGTCAATAAAAGAAAAAATTCTGCACAATTTTCATTTGCAACGATGAACAACAACTGAAATTTTACCAACAAACGAAATGAGAGTGTGTGTGTGTGTGAGAGAGAGATAAAGGGAGAGAGGAAAAAACATTGCTTACACGAAACATGACACATCTTTCTTTTCATTTCGCTTTTCATTTTCTTGTGTGCACTTCTCGCATGAAAAGTTTTTCGCATTTTGGCAAAAACACGCAATGTTGGCAAAAGTTTTTTATGTCACGAACTTGCATACATATTGAGAGAGAGAGGGAGAGAATGAAGGTACAAGAGAACGAAATGGAGAGAGAGATAGAGAGAAAGAGAAAGGAAATGGGGCAGTGAGGAAGTAAAAGAAAGAGAGAGAGAGAGAGGAAGAATGAGAAAGGAGAGAGCTAAAGTTGAAAAACTAACTCACTAAAATTCGATACCACGAATGCACAACTGTGAAAGAATGCACATGGTAGAAAGGGAAGGGAGTCAAAAGTTACTTTTAGCAACCCAAAAGACGACACATAGCGTTCAATATATGAGCACTTAATGGAGTTATGAGATTACTCTGGCTTCTTCACATACTCATCTTATTGCCCTCTCCCACTCTCTCTCTCTCTCTCTCTGCTCGTATGTGTTCCGATCAACCGGCTAAGCCTATGAAGAGACAAAATGCGAATTCCCCTCATCTGTGCCATCTTGTATTCCATAGTTGAACTCAATTTAGTTACAATGAATTGAATCGAAAAAGAAAAAAAAAACAACAACAGTAACATGGCTACATAGATCTGTTGACCAGTGAGATACGTATAGCAATGGAATGAAAGAATGAAGAAAGCGTATATGTGTATGTATGCATCAGCACGCATAGATGTACAGCTCTGTGTGGCCGTGCTATTGTTGTTGTTTTTTCACTTTTTCATTTCAATGCTACAGAATTAAATTCAGTTTTTGCATCTAATTCACACTAAAATCAGATGGCGCTCATTAGCGAGATTCGCAAAAAAAAGTCTCCAATCTCATACAAATATACACCGGCTGGTTCCGATGTGTGTTTTTCTCTCACTGATTTGATTTTCTCTTGTTTGTTTCACGACAATTGAGTTTTTGCGAATTGAAAAACGAGGGAAAATTACAACATCCAAAATATCAGTGTCAGCTCAAAATGCGAAACCTCTTTTCGAGTGAGAAAGTAATTAGTCGAAAAAGATCCGAGTTAATTATAAAATTGCATTATCATGTGTTTTTCACTTCAATTCGATGCCAAACCCCTCAAAAGCATACGTAATTTCGATACAAACCGATTCCATTTTTCTCGTACTGTGCCAATTCGATGGAGATGCTCGTTCCACGCGGACAACTCAACGATACACGTTCCGAATCACATGTTGTCTTCTGAAACGTTCGCAATGTCCCCGAAAGTAATGCTATTTTTAGAAAAAAAGAAAGAAAAAAACATTCAAGAATTACTTAGTGTGTTCGATATTTTTTGTGTGATTCGATCCTTGTTTGTAATTGTTAATGGACTCGTTGCTGCTGTCTGTCTTTATATATATATATCACTTTCAATCAATGCTTCTTTATATTTATCTTTAGAGCTTTTAATTATTTGAATCAATACAAATAACGTGCTATTTTTTAATTTTAACTCTCAAATTTTACTGATTCCTGTTTCACCATCCATTTTCGATTAGTAAGCAAACAACAACATTTTTTTGCCGTTGCGCTCAATTCACTCATGATATTGCATTCTACTACAAACATCCAGCACTGAAACTATAAAACAGCGACATTTTCTGTACAATGTAAAATGAAATGTCAGAAAAAAGTTTCGACATACACGAAAAACACATACACGCCAACTGATTTTTTTCTCGATGGCGAAAAAGTAGCATGAGATACACGGGGTAAAAGTTGATAACAACTTTTGTAAACAACACAAAACTTTTCGAAATCAGCTATTTTCATGCGTTGGTTATGAAAAATGTAAAACTATTTTGGTTCTGTTTTTATGAAAGGATTCTTGTGACGGTTAGCGAAACAAATCGTATTTTCGAACATGTCAGACTTTCCATTTGTTCGAGGTGGAAATCAGTATGTTCACAAGAAAATTGGCACTTTAAGGCAATTACAGATTTTTTTCTTGAAATTTTCAATGAAGTAAATGGAAAAGATTTTTTTTTTCAGAAAAATGTTAGGCGGGTTTGAAGAGGTAGTTTGGCGTGCGAACCAAATAATTTGAAAATGTTCGTTTAACTCCTTGACTTGCTTTTTGCATAGAATGAACCCTTACATTTTACCAGCATTGGAAGTATTTTAGATTAATTCATACCATGGTAATGGTAATAGCCACCTAGTTCATCTATACTCTTAAAATGTGCCCATCGAAGCAGAGGTCTACTCAAATGCACGTGACTTAAAAGGAAGAGTGCGTTTCTCACCAGAAATTCACATCATTCATTCTTTCACGTCACAGCTTTAGATTCAAGTGTACTTTTGTATCCGAAAGTCGCTACTCATGAACATAGCTGGGTAGCCAGCCTACACGGGCACAAGACGTATATGACGATGTGTGTATCTCCTCTAAATCGCCCGAGCTACCACATCCCGGTGGCATTTAAGTACTTCCTTCAACTTGCTATGGGTTTTTATTAGCTGATGGACCCCTTAATTTCCAGCCATGCTCATGTATGGTAGCCAGTTCCATTGTATGAATAATATTTCTAACATGCATCCAATTAAAAAATGATTTGATTAAATTTTACACAATGATTCGTAGTAAATTCCAACGGAATTATTCCGTGGAAGTTTTTTGCAAAAATAAGTGGTTTCCATTTATAAAGAAATTCAATTATGGAAAATTGTGAATGCACATCTTTTATCCATCATAATTGTGTGCTCCATCTCTTGGTTCTTACATTGTGATCTCTTGCTTCAGAAAAAAAAAATCTTTGAATGACTGTGGAAAGTCATTTATTTTTTAATTCAAAAATTTCAGGTTATTTATAGAAGAAATGTTCAAAAATTCCACTGTCATCGAGGCTGATTGACTGTAGTCATTGTACATAAATCAACTGTAGAATCCAAATAAATTGCAAAATTTGCATATTTTTTGTCATTTCAACAATGAAAATTGTGTTTCTATTAAAAATTCTGTATTCATTTGTCTCGTCAAAATTAATGAGTCTGCTGTTGGAATTAATTTTAATTGTTCGGTCATTTGTGAAGAAAAAGCTCTCGCATAATTCATACAAAATGCCAAGGAGAAAACTCACTCAGTTCAATGTGGTTTGTTTTTGGGATGTGTATGTGGCAATCGACCGTTCATGACTAGATACATAACAAAATGTGAAATGACAATTTATATTTGCCAAAAAGGTTGCTCAACTTTAATTTCGATGGAATTAAAAGGTGTTCAATATTGTTGTGGTTGTTAGTGACACCGGTATATTCAAAGCGAAATTTATGCACATTATTTGTGTGTAAAAAAAAATTGTGACCATGTCGATCTATTTGTCATAGTCTATATGATTTATGTTCGTGACACGATGCCCATTCACCGATTGGTTAGGATTGATTATATTCCGTCGTTATTTGCCACTGGCAAAAGTCTTCGAGCGCAAAAATGAACGTTTATTGAATATTTTAATAGATGAAAAATGCGTTTCGCATACACAAAGAGACGTTGTTTTTTTTCTCTCGTCAAAAAAGTGTCTCGTTGCCGGGCAATTTGAATGGAGAGCTTTTTTTCGACAAAAAAAGGTCCATTCGGGTACTGAAAAGTGTCCGATTGGTTGTTGTTGCGATTGCAATTGTTGTTTGTTCAAAGCAGTCGTTTGGAGTAATTTTTGTGTGTAAACGAGACGCGTCTCGAATGGTGCCTTTGGCATCTTGTTTCGGTTATACATTTAATATGGTTTTGCCTTAAACCTTAAGCTTTGAATTATATGTTGGATGAGTGGTTGTGCGTGTGTATTGTGATCTATCATGTGTTTGGTGAAATGCAATTGACAACCATAGCTTGGTACGCCATATCACCATTATCAATATGGGAATGTCATTGGCAGTAAATAAATTTATCAATGATTGCAATCGATAGACAGATTTGCGTGCTCATGTTATCCATTTTTACGACGCATTCGTGCTGTTTGCGTCTTGACAACTTCAAAATGGTGATAAAATGGCTCTTAAATAATTCATTGTGTGTTGCTCATTTCTCGAGCAATTCGTCTGGTTCGATGGAAAATGCACACAGCTCTATGAGTGCCACATTCAATTTTGTGTGCAAATTGATGTGACTTAACGCAGGTGTGATTACACAATTTATGCCACCTTTTTTTTGCGACAATAGATATATGTCTGTATTTATTTTCAGTGTTAAGGGATTATCTGATGTGAATGGTTTATTGATTTCGGGGCGCGTCAAGTGTACACAGAAACGAGCCAGGACTTGTTTTGCAGAATATTTTTTTATGATGTTTTTAATCTTATTGTCGAACATTATTTTTATGATAACCCATCTAAATTAAAGCCGGCATTTTACAGCTTTTTCGCTCATTTTTACTAGCTTTTTGATTGAGTATTTTTTTCTGTTGCCATTTTTGCAAACTGTTTACACAGTTAGCGTTATCCTCTTTTTCTACATATATCTTCCACATTAACTCTGGGTCTTGTTCTTTCATTTCTCTATCTCTTTCCTTCTCTTTCTCTCTATCTCTTTCCCTCGCTTTCTCGTTCTCTCTCTTTTACCCCTTTGTCATAATCTTTCTGTTCTTTCCATTGCCTATTATTGTCGTTTACTTTTTCTGCATTTTTCATTTCCGTTTTTCCTATCTCGCACACACCCATCATCATCACGCATAAAGTATAACTGCACTGCAGTTTTCCCGACGTTAAATTTATTGGTCAAAAATTTATGCTCATGAAAGGAGTTAACACGCTTGGCTAACCGACTATGTCTGTTCTCTCATTCCCTCCCTCTCGCCCTTTACATTTCCATTCTTCTCTCTCCCTCTCTCTCCCTCCCTCTCTCTCTCTCTCTCTCTCTCTCTCTATCTCTCTCTCTCTATCACTTTAACATATAATTTTCATGTGACTTTTATTGCGATTTGCTTTTTTATGGCCATTGTGTCATTTGTGCTTGTCGTTTTTATTTAATGTATTTTGCGTTGATTGGGGAGTATTCGGTGCTTAAAAATTAATGTCGCGTTATAATTATAATTGCATCAAATATGCTTTGGTCTCGAGCTCTTGTGATTTTTTGCTATCCCATTTTTGGGTGGCTTTTGTTTCTTTCTTGTTTCATTGTCTGTCGTTCGGTCTCGTTTTTTTTTGTATGTATACATGTGTTTATGAGCTTCGAAGCGACGGTTAGATTATAGGTCGTCTAAATTAAATCAAATCGTTTTGTTTATGTTTTTGTTGTTTTCATGACCTTTTTCTCATTGACACTGCCCGCGTTGACCACTGGTTTCAACAATGGTCACCGAATCGGTAACTGAATGAGACGAAATAAGTACAAGAGGAGATAGAGTTAAGACTAAAGGAAATGGAGGTAAGCGGAGAGAACGAGAGAGTGAGAGGGGTAAAGAGAAAGAGAGAGAGAAAGAGGAGAGAAAAAATAGAGAGAGATAGAGAAAGAGAAAAAAGAAGAGAAGAGGTAGTCCAAGGAAGAATGGGAGCGATATCAAGTAAAAAACCAAAAGATTGATAGAGAAAAAGTAAGCGTTCAAATCTGCTAAATGAAAACATCAAACTTATCCATGAAAAAGAACCTTGCTAACCTTTTTATTTGCAAAAATGAATGACCATATCATATTTTCATCATTTTTTCTCTTCATCCGGTGTATGTGTGTGAGGTAAGTTGACAACAGATGACAAAAAATCATGACACGTGCCCAAACGAGAGTCAATTTGAATGAAATTCCTGAACGAACGCGGCTCAAATAAATCACATACACTAACAGGTCTATGTTTTCAATGAACATTTCCGGAGTGTGTGGCATTGACAAATCGCCCATTCATTCAAATGAAAATGCGTTTTATGATGAAAAACAGCGCGTGAAAAATCGACCCCGAAAAAAAGCGTCTCCATCATCATCACCGCTTGGCCCTTGATGATTTTCAACACGCATTATGTCACATTAGACAAAATGCGATAACAGATGATGCATATTTATTTTCATAATATTGGATTATTAGATGCGCGTTGATACATGCGACCGCATACAAACATTCAACAAGAGATAGAGCATGTAGAACAGAACATGAAAACAGCATTTACAACACATTCGTTTAACGTGTGTGTGTCAATTTGGCCGGAATTCAATTCATCCGAGCGTACAAGAGAAGTGAGCAAAAAAGATGTGATATTAATATCGATCCCAAACACACTCATACAACAACAATCACTTATTATCCTTCATATTTACTTAACCGTTATCCTGATGTATGGCGCGAGTCATCCCCTTCACTGTGTGCGTACCATTCGAATGTCGAATTAACTTTTAGTGGCGTTGCGTTGATGATGATTCGCCTGTGTTTGTGTTTGTTTATTTGCCATTTAAGCGTCATGTCAACCAAACGGACCGTGGATAAATAAATGATTTCACATGATTTTTAATGTTGTTTGCTCGTTTCGACGCGGTTAAGACTGACTTACATGCGTTATACGATTGCCGACGT